CAATGAGATATTAAGCAGATCTGCATTTGTCACATCCAAAAATGTCTTTCTGGACCCCTTGTTAGACAGCTTTATAATTCTGCTTTTGTGTGTTCCATGGCAAGTGGGAGGCTGGATTCTGCCCTGATTTTGGTTTTGAGTGTTGGGCTTCTATCACGTGCTGTGTTTGTAAGGCACTGTGCTGGCTATTTCTATCCCCTTTTCTCTTTATGATGAAACATTCAGATTTTCTTTTGTCAGTCCAGGAGGGGTTGGGAATGCACCTTTCCTTGGGCACTGGAGGGGGAAGTAATCACAGTGGTTTCATATCATCTGGGTTCAATTTCATTACTTAAAGCATCTGTTTCAACTGAAAGACAGATCTGTTTCCATCTTGCTCATTAGCAGCATTGGGACTGACTTAGATCACCTTAATGAGAAATCTGCTTCCTATCCCAGTGGTCTACATTCCCGGACCTTAATTAGAGTGGTGGATTAATTCTTCCCTCACCGCTGACCCCACTACTCCAGGTTAAGTGCAAAGGATTATTGACATGGCCAGGAAATACAGAGAAAGTTGTCGACTATTTGAGGTCTTTTGGTAATATGTTGTTGTCTCTTCTTTGTTGGTTGCTGTGTAGTTGTGTCAGCAGGTCTTTGTTCTTTCCTCGATGAGTAACAGCAGCAGGAACCGGTCACATTTTCAGGGCTAGGCAATTGCTGCTTGCTGATCTTAAACCAGCAGAGCCAGTTTCAAGAAGCTGGTACAATTTTGGTCTGGCTCTAGGCTGCCCATGGTTCTCTGAGGCAGTCTCCCTGTCCTACAGACTAGACTTCACTTCCCCTGTGTGTTAGGACTCTTGCATATTCAGTGTCACTTTTGGGTTAGTTTTCATGCAGCAGTGAAACAAGGTGTTCACTCTGGGTGCGGTTCACCCTTAAGAACAACATTCACCCAGGACATAGGTATTTTGGGCCTGTAGGTTGTAGGCAGGTGTTAGTGGCACCCTATGCTATTATTGGCCTGGTTCCATAAGTGCACTGACCACTTTTAGTGATGCACAGAAACTACATCCCAGCCCTGGAGAGCTTTACCATCTACCACAAACTAATAACATGCACAAGACGGCTGTCGAGGGTGTGAGACAGTGTAAAGGGATCAGTCAGTGAGGAGAGAGCAGCGTGAAAGCAACATCAGCTCTGCTTTTCCCATGAAGGGAAGGAGAAGTACACAAAGCCCAAGAAATAAGGAGATGCTCCAAAAATGTGTGTGCACAAGGAGGGGAAGAGTGAAAGAGGGCCTACATCCAGAACTCAGGAAAGGAGCCAGAAGGGACACGTAGCAGAAAGAGTTAAAAGAAACCTGGGGCCTGAGAAGTAGGTGGGAAACCGCTACCGAGCCCTGGGGGTGACTTTTTTTTTTTTTTTTGGATGTACAAAACAGTAACGGGGATAATTGAAGGACTCTAAACATCTAGTTAGTGCAGCTGGAGCACTCTGACTCTTGCATGGCTCCAAAAGGCTGCCACGAACATCCTAGCTACTAGCTCAGGGTGATGCTGTTTGTTGCAATTCCCTCCTGTAGCTGTGATGGATGGCTGCCATGCCTCACAAAGCAGTAGATGTGTGGTCCAGACACTAGCCAGGAACTTGGGAGACCCACGTTCAGTTCTCTGCTGTGCCAGGGGTTTCCTAACCCACCTTGGTCAAGTCTCTGTGTCTCTGTATCTGTCTGTTTTACCCCAGTAATGGGGATCAGCGCAGTTTCTCAGACGGACAGCATTTGCTGTCCTCACAGAGACCTGCTAGACGCAAGTGTTTGACCTTGTTGTTCTGCTTTCCAGTGTTGATGTAAATTCACAGTAATGTCCTTGAACTGGGACCAGGATTAGAATTCAAGCCATTTCGGCAAGCCCTGCTAGACACGTACCTAATGCTTTTGGCGAGCTTTCCCATTTGTTTCTGCTTCTGCTCGTGAAAGGGAGCTGAACATCAAATCTGAAGCTGCTTTTGTTTTTTAATTTAGGTTCTTCAGAACTGTCCATTGTGAGAGGTCTAGGCAGCAGCTGACACTGTTGAAACGGTGGTACGTAGTGCACTTGGGCAGGACCTTGTTTCTCAGGAATTGCCTACAATTTTCTTTGGTGTTCGTTCACAGTGAGAAGACAGCTGAAGAGCTGTTGTGCTGAAATGCTCCTTTGCTCTTTTCTTGTCTATGTGTGCTGGGGATGTATTGGGATGTTCATCCCCTATTTGGAATTGATAAACATTAGCCTTTTCTGGATTGCTTTGTTCTGTAATCCTGAGCTGCTCATGGAGCTGGCACACAGCCACTATAATTCCAGAAGGCTGCTTTATTACATGACTGTTCTTTTGGGTTTTCCATGGAAATGGTTCGTCTTTCACACCAGTCTTCTATGTAGAGACAGAGCCGCAAGAGAAATTAGACTGTGCAGCCTTGTGTCCTTCAATATAGACGTCTTTCCTATAACGGGTTCTAGATGGGGCTTCATTTTTCTTAAAGAAATGTTGCCGGACACCCACCTCCACAACTTTCCCTGAGACACACGCAGTGAATTCAATCCTGTGTGGGTTATGCAAACCTATGGGTAAACTCCAATTCTGAAGTGTTCCTTTTATTACCTTTCCCCGTGTGCGTGCGTGCGTGTGTGTGTGTGATCTGATTGTCTGTCCCCTGCTCTTGCAAATGGACACCAACTCAATCCTCTCTTGTCTCTGGTCTGTCCCCTGCTCTTGCAAATGGACACCAACTCAATCCTCTCTTGTCTCTGGTCTTATTTGCTCTCCAGCGTCCATGCTACTGATACCCTGAAATCTGGTGGTGCGTCTGTAACCCAAACTGGAAAACGATGTCGTTGCCTGTGCTCTTTTACTCTTCTTGAAAGCTGCTGGCTTCACAGTCCATCTGGAGGGCCTCCTCTTAGTGTAGGCCTAGGAGCAGAATCAAGCCCGGAGACTTGCAGGTAGATTTGAGGGCTGATGGTGTGTGGTAGATAGAGTAATTCACTGTCCCACGGTTCCCCATTCGTTCTCCAGTGAAATAAAACCAGCCCACATTGGATAACGAAATACTTCATGTTTTTGAGCTGTGCCGTTTTGCTAATTGCATTAATATTTAAGAGCCAACTAATGTAAGAATGTATTATTTACATGAATCATAGTATGAAAATGGTCTAATAAAATGGCATTAAGATAGTTTGTTGTTATTCAAGTCCATCAGCTCTGTTCAGAACCAAACACTCAAACTCCTCTTTGGATACCAGGTAGATTTTTATGATAACATCCTCGACAACCAGTGGAAAGATGAAGAGGTACAGCGTATTCTACAGATTTCTGTTAGTGGCATGAGCAGCAGACCTACAAAAACCAAGTGGTTTTTCCTTGCTTTTGTTTTGTTTTGTTTTTTTGGCCAGACTGAATGTGTTTGTGAAGAGGAAATCTGGAAAGGAGTGTCCATTACTAAATGTAATTTGGGGAAGGGAAAAAAAAAACCAACATTGAGATTCTTGTAAAGAGCTTTGATACACTCCCGGGATTTGCTGCTGCTGTTGCTTCTGCTTCCAGGATTGTTCTTAATGATTTTATTACTCAAGTCCTCATTTTTTCTGATGAACGTACCCTGACTCAAACCATCTGAGTGTAGAACAACCCTGCAGATAAATGAAGTGGTCGGGAGAACAGTTATTGCTCTACTCAGATCACCTAAGAAGAGGACTCCCCATGCACTGAAGTTCTTGAAACGGTAGGGGCAAAATCTCCTGCAGATCAAGAGCTCTCATTGAGACTGGACTGCTCTGCAGCTCTTGTAAGTCCTGCCTGTGTATTTGAATAGCATGCTTGTACACTGTTTGTGAATTGCTCCTTAGTAAGACTCGCTAATTTTAGAGCGTTGTAAGCAAAATCTCCTTTTTTTCCCTTGCTGCATAGGCTTAAATCTTGATATCCCTGTATTAGAAGAGCCCAAATTATGTACACTTTATTGGGATGGCCCATGTGAAGCTCCAAACTTTGTTCTACAGAGTTTTGCAGTTTCACTTATATTGCAAATTCATGTCTGCCTGAACATGGTAGCTTTGCATTCAGTGGGAAATCTCAACCAAGTGCTTTTAGAAAGTGCATGGAATGACTAAAGCAAGGTTGAGGGATGTTGGTGGGGAGAGGAGACCAGGCCCTGCTCTTTCCCTCTGAACCTGTTCTGTTTCCAGGGCTGTACTTGTGGTGCAGTCAGAGCTACATCCCCTGACAGGAGACCACATGCATCTCCCACATGGCTGTGCTCTTTGCCCAGGGCTTTGTATTTTTCTAAACATTTTAAAACATTTTTATTAATTCCTTCTTGAATTTAATTGTCCTTCAGGATTTTTAATAGCAAATTCTAAATGATAAATTCATCTTCTTGCATTATTTCTCATGTTAGTTTTAAGAAATAGTATTTTCTATTTATTTTTTGTGAAGGGGGACGCAGATGTAGAACATTGAGTCAAGAACCATACAGGTAGAAATTAAATTTCATCTCTCGCTCTCCTGTTTTCACCTGCTGTCCGTGTAAAGTCATGCATGGTTTAGATCTTTAGATATCTATCCTGCATCATTATAGAAAAGTCAGCTAGGCAGCAAAGATCTCATTCTATTTTTAATTTAATAGAAAATCGCATTAAGACGCTGGACAAAATGGTACTGAAAATCCTGGTCTATCCTAAACTATGGTCTTGCTAACACTCGACCATCATGTATTTGCGAGAACTGAACTTGGGTAGAAGTATGTTTCTGAATCTGATCACTCCAGGCATGTGGAACAATATTTAGCACTGAGATCTGTTTATTGGTGACGGGACTTTCTGTTGCATGGCTTTATAAAATTCCTACAGTCAAATTATTAACATTTCCAGGACAGTGTGGGGTTTTGGGGAATGTTTCCTTGCATCTTTGAGACCTTCGCAAACCTGGTGGTGCCAGAGCTCCAAAGGAGAACAGTGCCTTGTTTTCTCTACTACTCAAATAGCAAAATGAGCAGTGGTTGCCAAGTGCCTTCTTTTATCAGTTTGGCTCCTTTCCTTTCATTCAGACGGGATGGACAGTTGGCTGCTTATAACACTTCAGTAAGAGAACAGACAAAAGATGTTCTCTGTCTCAATTTTAGCCTATGTACTGCGCTCTGTCATTGTGCTCACGATTGTAAATTGGGTCGGATCCAGGCAGCTCCGCTTTCTAGTGACTTTTTCATTTCTCTTTTTCTTAGCGTCCCTAAGCTGACTTTCAGTTTCCGCATACCACCTGCTTCCTGGCTGCCCTTGCTGGGCTCGCTTTGCCCCTTTCTGCCAGTTCAGTGCAGTGGTAGCTCCATTGCAATCCTTGCGTGGTAACTGTCCACACTTGCAGCATGTCCCTTTCTTCCAGCGTGGCTGAGATGCAGCTACCTTGTGCTGGGTTGGCAATTTGGGCTCTGTCTGTGTGGATAATAAGGCAGCCCTCAAAAGTGCCATCCTAAACTTCTCCCTGCAGAAGACTTAATTACTGCCTCACTTATGATGTGCCTCTGGCAGAGAAACCCACCTGTAGCAGCTCAGCCTCACCTTCATGGTCCCGTCTTTTGAATCCTTCCCAGCAACACCATACACTGCAAATTGGCTGGACCGCCTGTTTCATTCATTTTACCATCCCTCCTCTCTCCATCCCTTTCTCGTCAGCTGTCCTTAGCATCAGCCCTTTACTTCTTCCGGCATATCCCTGTTAACATGGCTGGCCCCTTCCCCTTCTCATGCCCTGTGAATCTTGTCCTATGGACTAAGAGATGGATGGAGGGCAAGGGTGGTGGGTGACAAGGAGTTTGTGTTTGAGCCTGAATCTGTGTCTGTGCACACTGGGGTAAGCATAACTCCACTGGCTGAAGGAAGTTGTTTAGGGCCTAATCATTCACAGAGCAGCTGAGCTGTTTTCTCCTGGCTGGGCCTCTCTGATGCCTCAAGCTGTTGTGCTCCCTTAACATGGTGCGTAAGGATGATCTTCTATTTCCAAGTGAGGCCGGTTGGGTTTAGGGTGAGGCTGCAGAACCCTTTGGTGCTGGGCTGTCTTGTAGGAAATGTGTCCATTTCATTGCCTTCGGCTAGTGTTCAAGGCTTTTCGAGTGACGTAGTTACATAGCACAGGGCAGAAGTGAGCCACTCACTTGACAAAATGGTGGCGAGTCCAACAGGAGAGTGCGTTGTTGGGTAGCTCAGTGCCTCCTGGTGGGGAGAGGCCTGGGTAGTGAGGGGGGTTTCCTGGCTTGTGGGTACGACAGCCTGCTTCCTCCTGTTGTTGGAGGAAAATCCCAAAGCAAGTGATGGTGTTAGTATCCCTGGGTTCCTTGCAGACTGCCCATGAACCATGTCGTCCATCCTGGGAATGATGAAGAAATTCGGCAGCTCTGATGTGGAGGAATCTGAAGTCACCGACGAGCACACGGACGGGGAGGATTCAACTCTGGGGACCCCTGACAGCCTGCAGGGCACCCAGAGCACCAAGTTGCAGCCACCCCCCAAAAGCAACATCTTTAGCCGCCGAGGGCGGTTCGTGATGGGGGACAGTGATAAGGACATGGCTCCCATGGACTCCTTCTACCCGATGGACCACTTGATGTGTCCGCCCATCATCAAGTTCAGTGCCAATTTGGAAAAAGGAAAGCTTCACCATCATTTTGGCAAGTAAGTTGCTGTTGCAGTGGTGTAGATTGACAGGGGTTGTTGGCTTACTGCACCATGGTGTTTGACGTCTACAGCAGATAAACTAGTGATTCCTAGGGTGAAGAATGGAAGAGCCTCCAATACTAGGTTTCACTGAATGACCATTGCCCATCCTGGATTTGTATTCCGGGTAATCACCCAGTGAAGCCCATAGGAGCTGTGGGTCACCAACATGTCTGAAAATGATGCTGTTGGGTATCTTGCTCTCAATTCATGGCTAGTCAGTCACTCACCCAAGACCATAGAGTGCGTCACTAGCAGTGTCAGGAGATTCTGGTTCCCAGGCCTGCAGTCTGACCGCTATTCCCTCCTGCTTCCCTGGACTTGAACCCTTATTCTTAACTTTTCACCAAGGCCTTCGTTTGCCTAGACCTCTGTGACTTTACAGACTTTGCAGCTCCATGCACATAGCAGTAACGTGTGCTGCTCTGCCAGAAATTAAGGCACCATTGGCTGGTGGTGTTTAAATCTGGCAGTTTTTTGCCCTTATGTCTCAGTAACTTCAAATTCCCCTTGCCAGGCTCCTGTCCACTGAGTCCATCACAAGCTGCTCAGATAAAGCTTTCAAGTACTATGATCGCAGGAGGATCTTTGATGCTGTAGCCCAAGGCGACATAAGTGATCTGGACCACCTGCCGATGTATCTTAGTCGGACCTTGAAGCATCTCACAGATGATGAGTTCAAAGGTATGCCAGTCCACCACCAGTGGTGCCATTGGACCTTGGAGCAAAATACTCTGTTAACTACAGGACAGAGCAAAACCACACCCTGGGTCCTGTTGTCTGCAGTGCTTTTCCAGTTTTCTTTGGAGCTTTTGGGAAAAAAATTGAGGAACCCTAAGCATGGCTGGTTTTCCCATCCCTTGTGATTACTGCTTGCTTTGGTAGTGGGCAGGTTCGTAACGACCTCAATATAGCTGTGATCTTTTCTATTCTAGAGCCGGAGACCGGGAAGACCTGTTTGTTGAAAGCCATGCTGAACCTGCACGAAGGGAAAAACAATGCCATTCCCCTGTTGCTGGGTATTGCAGAGAAAACAGGCAATCTGAAAGAGTTTGTTAATGCTGGTTATACTGACAACTACTACAAGGGTAAGAGAGACAGCTGGCATGGCGTGAAACCTTGCCTATTCCTGTGTTAAATGGCCAGGGGTACCCAGAGCTGTCTGGCCCCTCAGCTGTCCCTCTCCAAGGGATCCAGAAGGAGCTTGCTCCTAGGAAAGGAGCACCACGAAGTGCCAGAGACTTTAGTAGCCAGTGCATTCCTGGAATGTCTGGATTGCACCTGGGTGTTCACGCTGGTAAAGTGCTAGGGTTGTACAGTCCTGTTTCCTTCCTCCATCTCTAGCTGCACACCAGCATGGTGCTGGGTGTGGTGTGTTGTTTGTCCCTTCGGTTGGTTAACAGAGCTCTGTTAACCCAGCTCGGACTTCTCCCCAGCATTGAGCTAATCTGGGAAGGCAGAGTCCCTAGTGCCTGATGGCTGCCTGCATTAGGGAATTTTGTGGTCTGATGAGTGTTTCCCTAGGTCAGACCGCACTCCATATTGCCATTGAAAGGAGAAATATGTATCTGGTGAAGCTCTTGGTCCAGAATGGAGCAGATGTTCATGCCAGAGCCCACGGCGAGTTCTTCAGAAAAATCAAAGGGAAGCCAGGCTTTTATTTCGGTAGGGGCTTTTATTCATCTTATGGGGTTCAACAAGGAGAAATGCAAAGTCCTGCACTTAAGACAGAGCAATCCCACTCACCAGGACAGGCTGACCAGGGGACTGACTGGCTGGGCAGCAGCTCTGCAGAAAAGGATCTGGGGGGTCACAGTAGACAATAAGCTGAATAGGAGCCAGCAATATGCCTTTGTTGCCAAGAAGGCTAACGGCATCCTGGGCTGCATCGGTAGGCATGTTGCCAGTAGGTCCAGGGAAATGATTTTCCCCCTCTATTCAGCACTCTATTCCCTTCTATTCAGCACTCGTGAGTCCACATCTGGAGTCCTGTGTTCAGTTTTAGGACTCCCACTACAGAAAGGATGCAGAGAAATTGGAGAGGGTCCAGCGGAGGGCAATGAAAATGGTTGGGGGGCTGGGGCACGTGACTTTTGAGGAGAGGCTGAGGGAACGGGACTTATTTAGTCTAGAGAAGAGAAGACTGAGAGGGGTCCTGGTGGAAGGCACAAACTGTAGGTTCTCTTCTTGTGAGGGATGTGTAGTGCCCAAGGTGCACAGGGTGTGTTTGCTGACCAGCATTTCACTGTTGCTTGCCAACTAGGTGAGCTGCCTCTTTCTCTCGCTGCCTGCACCAACCAGCTGTGCATCGTGAAATTCCTCCTGGAGAACCCGTATCAGCCAGCCAACATCGTGGCCGAAGACTCCATGGGAAATACAGTCCTGCACGCGCTGGTGGAAGTGGCGGATAACACCAAAGATAACACCAAGTTTGTCACCAAGATGTACAACAACATTTTGATCCTTGGAGCCAAAATTAACCCAATGCTGAAGCTGGAAGATCTCACTAACAAGAAGGGCCTGACTCCTTTGACCCTGGCAGCAAAGACAGGGAAGATAGGGGTAGGTGGGCATGCATCAGTCACTGACCTCCTACCACCTCAAACAATCCATGGTACAGCCAAAGCGCTGTAAGATTTGTCACAGCTCCTGCCTGGGCCTAGCAGGTGTATGGCAAGTAAACTTTACAGCCCATCCCAAAACACTCGCTGTTCACCATGGCAGTGACCTCAGAGGGATGTGGAACAGGTGCCTTGGGATTTCTCGTTCAGAGCTGAGGGGCCAAAGGCAGTCACAAGCCCCAACTTGGGGAGAGCAGAGAAGGTCCTTCTTTGTATTACTGCACCCGACTCTTTGCTATGTTTGCATTGTTCCGTTCCCCAGAACAATGAGATCATTAGCTCGGAGCTTGCCATTAGCAGCCATCAAGCAGTGCTCTGTGGGGCTGACTCAGAAAGGAACTTGATTTCCTGTGCTACTGAAATGCTGAAGAATCACCACTCCACAAAAGCTAAAATCCTGGTTGCTTATTATTCTCTCGTGATTAGATTTTCGCCTATATCCTCAGACGAGAGATCAAAGACCCCGAGTGTAGGCACCTGTCTAGAAAGTTCACCGAATGGGCCTATGGACCAGTCCACTCCTCTCTGTATGACCTGTCCTCTGTAGACACGTGTGAGAAAAACTCTGTGCTCGAGATCATTGCCTATAGCAGCGAAACCCCTGTAAGTATGGAAACCTCCTCAGCACCTTCCGCAGGGAATTGCTGGTCTCCCTGTGTTCTGCACGCAGCGTCTTCCAGCAGGTTTGCAGAGGTTTAAAAGCAGGTGTAAATTGGGAAGACAGCCCTCATTTCTTTCTTGGCATATGCATGTGTACTGACGTTCCTTTTGCCCACACGCTGCCGCCCAACTGCGGAAGCCGATCTTGGCATTTACCACTCCAAAAATTCCCGTTGGCTTGGGGTCAGAGCTACCACCGGCAGGATGCTCACCCATACATGTAAGGGTTCCACACCAGTGCCCTACAGCAAGTCTGTACCTTGTGCCGCTTCTTTGGTTTCCAACAAGGAAGCATTTTCAGGGTGCTGGGGGGCAGGACTCCTGGCTTCTGTTCTTAGCCATTCTCCTGACTCACTGTGAGGTGTCGGGCAAGTCACTCTGCCTCAGAGCATCCATCTGTGAAACCAGGATCAGGGCCCTTCTCTGCTTTGTGGGATTTGGATGGGGGATGCTAAAGACAAAGGGGTTTCACTTGCTGTTTGCAAAGCCTCAAAGCACTGCAGGAAGGTGGCTCTGCAGGTGTGCTTGCTCAGCTCGTGTGCTTACCAGCTGCTTTGGGACTCACCCTCTAGTTGTCTTTATCCCCTTTCAGAATCGCCATGAGATGCTCCTGGTGGAACCACTGAACAGGTTGCTGCAGGACAAGTGGGACCGGTTTGTCAAACACTTGTTTTACTTCAACTTCTGCGTGTACGCCATCCACATCATCATACTCACCATCGCCGCTTACTACCGGCCTGTGAAAAAGGAGAGAGAAGTAAGTGGCTGGTCGCACATCTCAGTAACCACCTAGAGGGCAGCTTCTCAGACCTACTCCCTTTTTAAAGCCGGTACTCAAGGTGCCGGAGCTCATTGGACTCCTTTCCTGGAAGGGTGGCAGGACAGAGGAGGGATTTGTCCCACACCACCCACCTTGGAGAATGGAGGGAGCTGTGCACTTTATAGCCACCTTACTGGCAGCTGAGCCCTTTAAACTGCTGAGCAGATGGATCTGTTCCATCTCCCACCATCCTGACCCCACATTCCTATGTCCAGCAGCCTCCCTTCGCATTTGGCTACAGCACTGGGGAGTATTTCCGTGTCACTGGAGAGATCCTGAGCGTGCTGGGAGGTCTCTACTTCTTTTCCAGAGGGGTAAGACATCTGAAATGTCCCCTCTGAAGGCTTGTGAGTAGGTGGGAGTCAAAAGCAGGTTGCCCCTTGTTGGGTTTGGTGGCCAGAAGAATCCATCCCTCACCCCAAAGCCTTAGGTAGTTTGGTGGGGTCTGATGAGTCACTGTCAGCTTCTTACTGAGTCAAAAAGCTAAGGCAAGGCCCTAAAAAGCCTGGGCATGGCTGAGTGGAGATACCAGCCTGGATAAGGCTGTAGGAGGGGGTACTGCCCACAGCCAGGCTTGCCCCATGAAGATCCTCAGTGCCAGCTTCAAGTCAGTTTGCCCTTCTAGTATACAGCTCTGAGCCTTGGGACTCACTGGGACATCTGCTGCTGTTGGGAGGCTCTTGAGGGCTAAGTACGGAGCAGCTGTTCCTCTCCTCCCAGCCTGTACCCTGCTTGGCCAGTCTTCTCTGTACTTCTGAGGGCTCTTGCTGTAGTAGCATCTCGGACAATCAGGACCCTGATAAAAGATAAATGGCATCGTTTTGTAAGGCTGGTATCGCCTTTTGGCAAGCACTTGCATGGAGATTCAGGCTGGAAGTGTATTTGCCCCTTGGATGGCAACCTTCCCTTCTCATATTCTTGCAGATCCAGTATTTTGTGCAGAGGCGCCCGTCGTTCCGGACCCTGCTAGCGGACAGCTACAGTGAGGTTCTTTTGTAAGCTCTCCAGTTTCTCTCTTGGTGTTTGAGTGAGGGACTCATGAACCTCTGCAACCCATAGCCTCAGCTTGGCCTAGGCCTGGCCCACAGGGACTTTGTGAGCCCTGACTTTTCCACTAGACCTCACCTTGCCTGCAGGTGAGGAAGAACCAGTGTAGAGATGTCAAGTGATTGGGTTGTGTATCAGAGCAGGAAATTGATCTCAAGGCTCCCGGCTTCCACCTGGGTGGATGCACTGGAGCTGTGCTGACACCTCACCTGTCTTCAAGGGGGTCTGCGGCTTGGCAGGATTTGAACCATTTGGCTTGACTAGCTGGGGGCTGTTACGCAATCCAGCCCCCTGAAATGGTACCCAGTTCTGTGCTGAGGGAGCAGCGCTCTGGGACTCGGGGCATGCCTGGTAGAAGGGCTTTGTGATGGCTGTGTCTGCCCCCATGTTCCTCTTTGTATGTCAGGCCTGGTAGAATATGCGCCCACCACTAAGACCCTGCTTGCCTTTCAGCTTTGTCCACTCGCTGCTCCTGCTGAGCTCCCTGGTGCTGTACTTCAGTGGGCAGGAACTGTATGTGGCTTCCATGGTCTTCTCCCTGGCACTGGGCTGGGCTAACATGCTGTACTACACCCGAGGCTTCCAGCAGATGGGCATTTACTCGGTCATGATTGAGAAGGTGAGTCTGGGCAACAGCTGTCTGTTTTGTAGACCCCCACTAGAGGTGATCCTGCCAACTTACCCACAGAGGGGGTCAAAGAGCCAACAGTCTTTACAAAGTCCAGGGTGCTTGGCACGTTGTGTTTTGTTTTATTTAAACCACACGTATGTTTTATTTTCTGTATGACCAACTTGGCTCTGGCATAAGGCCAGTTCACAGCAAAGGGTCTTCAAGCAACCAGGACTTGCTGCCAGTTGCAAGTGCAGTTTGTATTGAATTTCCGCGAATATGAAAATGTTCCATTTCCCTCTTGCAGATGATCCTGAGAGACTTATGTCGCTTCATGTTTGTCTACCTAGTATTTCTCTTGGGATTTTCCACAGGTAATATTGTCTTGCCCCTTTTTAAAAATGTCAAATTCTTTTAAAGAACAAATTCAGACAGTTGAGATGTCCCCTTATTCAGTGAAAACAAAGAAATGTAGAAAAGATAAAGAACAATAAAATGTAGCACTTTCCAGGTGCGTCTTTCTTCTGTCCTTCAAGGTGTTTTATAAACCTGGCTTAGCTGCATTATTCTCATTTGACTGATGGGCAGGGAAAAACCTGAGACACCACATTTTTGAAGGATCAGAAACTCTCCGAGGGAGGGAGACAGTTTTAGAGTCTTATTCTTTTTCCCCTAAAAGGTTCTGATCTCTGGATTTCCACCTGTGACCCATGACCGCACCCATATGGTGCCTAGTCTGGTATCCTGTTGCATATTTCTCATTGTTTGCACAACCGACATGGTCTCACCCTTTCATTTTAATCTTGCACTCATGGCTCCTCCTGTCTGCAATAGCGGTGGTGACTCTGATTGAAGATGACAATGAGGGACAAGACAACAGCACTGCTGACTGTCCCCGATGCTGCCAACTGAAGCGTAGCCGCACATCCTACAACAACCTTTACTACACCTGCCTGGAGCTGTTCAAGTTCACCATTGGCATGGGAGATCTGGAGTTCACTGAGAATTACAGGTTCAAGTCTGTCTTTGTCATCCTGTTGGTCCTGTACGTGATCCTAACCTACATCCTCCTGCTCAACATGCTCATTGCCCTGATGGGGGAAACGGTGAACAAGATCGCACAAGAGAGCAAGAGCATTTGGAAACTCCAGGTTGGTTGGCTTCTCCCCTGGGATTCTGCTATTTCTGTTGGCATCAGAACCAGCGTGTGTGAGTGGTGACTGCATTAAAGGGAGGCTGGAAGGGCTGATGTGTTCCTAAACTAACAGACCTTCCTCATTTTCTGTCTCCTGATTCCTGAACCGTCAAAATACGCCTTTAAAACTTGGCCTCCTCTTTCCCTTTCTCATATACGATGCACTGCTTCAGAGAAGTTCCCAGGGCGCCTGAGATGTTTACCATCTAAGAAATTAAATACGTATTTTGTAGAACTAAATATTAATAGAGTTGAGAACAAAGAGGCAATTTTGGCTTTTGACAATAGGAAATGAAGGTCAGCACTTGGAAGAACAGGGTTTGTGTAGGGGGGCCGAGTGCCTGCTGCTGGTCTTGCAGACTGTGCTGTGTTAGCAATTACTTTGCTTAAGAAAATGAACATAGTCATTCCAGCTACAACAATCCATCTTTTTAAGCAACATACACATGTAGAAAAATTTTGCAGTGGGTGTAATCATTGCCACTGAGGAGGGTGAAAACTTGGGGATTCTTCTTAAAGAGGTACAACTCGACGTTCATATAAATGCATCTAAACCACAGCTGTTTCCCATTCCTCTTGCTTGTTTCTCCTGGCAGAGAGCCATCACCATCCTGGACATTGAGAACAGCTACCTGAACTGTGTGAGACGCTCGTTCCGATCTGGGAAGAGAGTCTTAGTGGGGACGACACCTGACGGCAAGGACGATTATAGATGGTGCTTCAGGTAACCTGATTATGTCCTAAATAGATCACTTCTGGCAGAGATGTGTTCACAGAGGTAGGATAGCTCAATAACAGACACTGGGAAGGGGGACTTTTTTCCTTCCGGGACTTGTGACCACACTTAGGATGAACAAGTGTTACCCTCAGGGTGTTCTTGTTCAGAGACCTGTATGAAACAGCTTCTTAGTCCAGTCCCTTCTTGACTTGAATCCACCACAAAATTACATATCATCCCAGTGGGCACTAAATAATGGCACAGTCTTAGCAGAGAGGCTGCAGACTCTCCGCAGTGGACCTGGCAATGCTGGCTCCAGTCTGGGAGGACTGCATGTGGAGCAGCGTGGCATGCTTGAGGGCAGCACAGTCAACTGCATCCTAGACTTGGGCTTCCTCTCCTTGAAGTACCAATTCTGGCGACAGGGAAGAAATTGCCAAAATGCTCCCAAACCCTGAAGTCTATTTCAGTGTGGGGCTTGGGAAAGACTGCTCTGTTGAGTTCTCATTGATTTAACCATGTGGACTAGACACTGTACTGGTATTCAGTTGCATTTATGACAGCCCATCTATTGGGTGCCAAAATACTAGACAGACCATTCATCTTAAAGCAATACCACGTCCCCTCCTGCAGTGCTTCCCATCACTGAAATGTCAAGGCAGTATTATAGCTGGCCTGGCAATGAAAAGACATGGAAGCCAAGTTGATTTCTTTCCAGGCCTGTTTTTACGTTGCTTTACTGCTTGGACCTCAAAAGTTCATGGTGACACGAAGTTTTCCATGGGGAGAATCTGACCTAAAATATGGAGATCAAGGGTCTGATCTCTGTAACCCGGAGTCCCAGGTAACTCGGGACCAGGAGTCCCAGAACATACTGACCATTAAACCTGCAGAGAACTTCAGTTCATTGTTAATGCTGGGCCAGCGCCGTTCTGAAACACTTCTTTTAAAACACTTCCAGGGACAGGGCTATATGCATTACATACTCAAACAGTAATAATTGCTGTTCTACATGTGCAAGAAAAATGCATTGTGCACAGGGTCCTTGAGACTCTGGATTGTTTTCTGGGGAATAAATCCAAGCCCTTTGGTAGGCAGTTGCTCTTGTTGTTCTCTCTCCAGAGCTGAGCAGTGAATCCATTTATTTTTTTCTCTCCAGAGTTGATGAGGTGAACTGGTCCACGTGGAACACAAATTTGGGCATAATCAATGAGGACCCTGGATACTATGGAGATTTGAAGAGAAACTCCAGTTTTTCCTTTAAAGCTGGCAGAGGTGAGGATTTCAGAAACATAACACACCTTCTTTCTTGATGTATTCTGACAGGATGGGACTACAGGTTGGTTACAGAGCCAGCAGAGTCTAATGGTTAGAGCCATTTCTACACTTCCTAATGATGGTTGCAATAGTTGAATTGATACTATTGTGTAATTGGGTGAAAGTGAGCTGATTCATTATTAATGAAACAGTTGCATTTTTGGGAATTCCCCACAAATTCCTCCTCCTCCTCTTTGGAAACTTTGGGAGGTGTGTAACAGGCAGGAAATCCTGAAAGAGCTAAGCTGGGTGGCAACAGCCACAGAGAGCTGGAGCAGCGACCTCCTGAGGCTGAGCCCAGCCAAGCCACGGTTCAATAAGCACTGCAAAAAAACCCTGCTAAGGTCTGTCGATACTGCATTTGGCAGCTCAAAGACACAGACGAATAAAACCCTTGCTAAAACTGGACTTCTCACTTCTGCTTTATTCTGTTGTTGGCCTCCCACACTGAAACTGCTCTGTACTGGTTTTCTATGAAAGTGTGTGGTGGGAAACATTAACTGCTTTTTTTCTTATAAGTTTCAGGGAAAAACTGGAAGACTTTAGTTCCCCTACTGAGAGATGGCAGCAGACGGGAAGAGGCACCAAAGCTGACAGAAGAAGTCAAGTTTAAATCTGTTTTGGAGCCTTGTTACGAGTCTGACAACTTCAAGGCACCGAAAGATTCAATTCCAAAGTCGGCGTAACTGTGTTGTTGTTGTATTTCTTTTATAAGTACTACTATTATTTTTTTTTTTTTTTTTTTGGTTTTCAGGAGAAAGTCAGTTCTTATTGCCTCTGCGATCACAGGGTCCCCCCTAGGAGAGGAGGGCTTTCTGGGGACAGCTTAAAGGGAACGAGGAAGACACTGTATGTAGTAATTCACTGAGTATGCTAAGTAAACAGCTTGTTGTTTTACGCTCATGTCTCCATACTTATTTCAAACATTAATCTGACAGAAATCAGTCTTCGTTCCTCTTTCCTCACTAGATATTATTTTCCTCCAGAGACACCACCCAATAAGACTTCACAGGGCCAGTAAAGACAGGAAATGAACCAAGTGATTTTGCCCACAGTGGCTGCATCTACACAAGTGGTGGACTGCGCAGGCATTTAGTACTTGCAGAACCAAGTACTACATGACTGGGCAGCAACCGGCGTTACTGTGCAGTACTGTTCCTGCACATTTTTTTTTCTGATGGTACTGTGCAGTACCTCGTTGCTACTGCGCAGTACCATCACCGTCACAGTTAGTGCCCCTCAATGCTACGACATTTTTGCGCCTGTTTGCGCGCGGCTCGGGAGCGCGGCTCCCTGCCCGGAGAGCTAAGGCGTCGCCGAAGGGCTTCCCCTCCGGATCCGCCTCAGCTGTGCTGCGCTCTCTACCCCACTTACCTTAGGGGGGAATCAGCTGTTGCAAGTTTCTTCTGTGCCTACAGCCACCACTGCATTGGTTTGGTTATTGCGTAGAGCCACATCAACTTTGTAAAACCAAAAAGCCCAAATTTCCATTATGCCAAATACATGAAGATGTAATCTGTTTAAAATTTCCTAAAATCAACTTTTATAATTAGCTGGGATGACATGATACATATTAAAGAAGGCAAGAGCGCCAATTTAGCATCAATAAAAACATGATGTAAACCACCCTGAGCCGCCTTTGAGTAGGGGGGCACATAAATCAAATAAATGCCAAAAATGGAGGAGGTCTGTCTTTGCTCAGATAATGCTGATGGTTTGGGGGATGGGAGTGGGGGAGCTGCCATGATGCTTTTTGCTTCAGGACCCCAGAATCCATTTCTTGCCCTCTTCCTCTTTCCATGTTGTTACATTTAAATTGAATATCTACATTAGTGACATATGTTGCAGGTAGACTTCTTTCCTGCTCTAAAACCTACTAGCAGAATCCCATACACAAAAATGTACCTGGAAAAGCCTTCTTAATATCATCTGAAAGAACACAGAAAGTATTCTCTGTTACTTTTTGGAAAGTGTGTAGTAGTATAAAGCTTGAGAGGTCAGCAGAAGAGCCCTGTGGTTCATTAAAATGACTTGCTCTGGGTTCTTATAGTATATAATCTTCTTGGATCAGAGACAAACAAGGGTCATGGCAGCATAGCCATATAATTAAATGTACACACGCAACATGGAATGCAGTAATTTTGCCGTACTGTGACAGCTCAAGTATGGTTTCAAGTCAGGAGACAAATTGTCAGGGTAAATGATTGCCATGCACTGTGTTTGCCTGGCAGAGGTTACAGCTTTATTTTTCAGCACCACATTTCAAACTGAATGTGGCAAACAGAGCTCATTATGTATAGCTGTGCCCATAGTCGAATTATTTACAGGAAAATCTGCAGAGGATATCTTAGCCACGGGATCCTTCCTGCTTATAGGTAAAAAATTCCCTGCTCCGCTACATGCAGCTACACTGTATTGTTTTTGGTTTGTGTCTGCCATGCTAAAAGGTTTTGTGAATATGAAAATAGAAATTAAAGCAAAGATTTTTTTCCCCTTACCTTTTTAATCATTGTACTGGTATATCCCAGTGAGTTAGCCAGTTGTGATGCAAGATATCAGCCATCCCAGAACTAATACAGACTAACATGTCTCCACTTGCATAAAGAGCCTGATATGCATCCAAATGACCAACAGTACCTGAATGAAACTGAGGAAAAAGAAATCTCTATCACACATTTAGTAACTTGTAAAGGTACCAAAAATATATATAACATATATGTCAGGCAGGGCAATTTTAAAAAGCTATGAAATCACTTCTGCTAAAGCACGCTTAACTGGTCAAGCTAAAGTCCTTCTCTGCTCACATCTTCATGTTACAAGGGCTCCAGATGCCTGTCACCCGGGGATCTATGGCTGTTGTCACCTTCCTTGCATGCTGGGTAGCACTGCTTAGTCTTGTTATCCTGCTAAGAAAAAAAAAGAGCCTCTGAAACAATGAGTAGTTTTATTTATATTCATTAAAGGGTCACAGAAATTAATTTCATCACAACAGAATCCCAATAAATTAATAAGTAAATATATATAAAAAAGAAGTCTGTAAACACCCCTCAGTTTCTATGGTTTTAAAGGCTCAGAACAAACCTCCTTTTCGTTTGAATGTACACTGGCAAAAGCCAGCTAAGCTTTATAGATTCACGTGAACACGGTTCTCTGAACAAATTGAAAACCAGTATTGTCCTTGCTTCCCTGAATTCTTAAGATGAAAATCTAGCCATTCATTAGGACGTTATAATGATTTTTGCCATCCCTTCCCTGGTGTCAGATAGTCATTTTCTCTTTCCCTGCAGCTGTCCCCAGACCCACTGTACAGTCCAATTCACAGCTTTCATCCTGCAGCCCTGGCATCTCTCAACTCCCTTTAGGTCTTGGGGGAGTTTGGGTTGTAGCTGTGTTGGTCGACGCATACAGGCAGGCGACGCTCTTTGGGTAGATGTGATATCTTTTATTAGACCAACTAAAAGTTGGGAAAATGTTGTTTGCAAGCTTTTGGGCACAAACACTGTTCATTAGGCATAAGGAGACTCTGCAGGCTGTTATGCCTTTTGGTCTTGGGGACTTTTCAGGGTAGGAAATTTCTGAGGTTTCCATGCCTCTTCTGGTCTCCTGATGCCTCTTCTGAT